ATGGAAAGCAAAATTTCCGGTGAATGGAAAACAAAGAAGAGGTGGAATTGTGATTTTAATCTCAGACAAAATATCCTTTAAGTTATCAAAAAATCAAAAAGATACAGAAGGCCACTACATAATGATAAAAGGTTCAATCCATGAACAAGAAATATCCATCCTAAACATATATGCATCCAACATAGGAGAACCAACTTTCATAAAGCAGCTTCTAGGTAAATTCAAAAAAGATATTGATGCTAACACTATCATAGCTGTGGACTTTAATACCCCACTCACAATCATAGACAGATCATCGGGGTCAAAAATCAGCAAGGAGATCCAAAACCTCATTGTAACTCTTGACCAAATGAACTTAATTGATACCTACAGAATACTCCACTCAATGACCACAGAATATACATTATACTCATCACCACATGGAACATACTTTAAGATTGACCACATACTTGGTCATAAACCAAGCATAAGCAAATTTCAAAAGATTGAAATTTTGCCATGCACCTTCTCAACCACAGTGGAATAAAAATAAATATCAACACCAATAAGGTTCCCCAAAACCCACAAAGACATGGACACTAAACAACATGATGCTAAGCAACTCCTGGTCAACACACAAATCAAAGCAGAGACTAAAAGATCCCTGGAAACAAATTAAAATGAAGAAACATCTTACCAAAGTTTCTGGGATACCATGAAAGCTGTAGTAAGAGGGGAATTCATATCTCTACAAATACACATGAAGAAAATGGAAGGATCACAATTTAACAGTCTAACAAGTCACTTAAGGAAGCTTGAAAAGCAAGACCACCAAAATCCTAACTTCAGCAGAAGAATCCAGACACCAAAATAAAAGCCCAATTCTGGGACATAGAAGACAAAAAGATAATACACAAAATCAATGAAGCAAAAAGCTAGTTCTTTGAAAGGATAAACAAGATTGATGATCCCCTAGCTAGACTGACCAAGAAAAAGAGAGAAAAAACCCAAATAAACACAATCAGAAACACAAAAGATGAAGTCACATCTGACCCTGAAGAAATACAAAAGATCATTACAGTCTACTATGTACACTTGTATGGAAACAAACTTGAAAACCTTAAGGAAATGGAGGACTTCTGACATCACACAACCTCCCTAGTTTGAAACAAGAAGAAACTGAGACCCTAAATAGACCATTAACAATCCACGAAATTGACTATGTCATAAGAAAACTACCTACAAAAAAAAATTCCTGGACCAGATGGCTTTCCAGCAGAATTCTACAAGACATATAAGGAGGAAATGATACCAATCCTACTGAAAGCATTCCAGGTGACTGAGAAATAGGGAACACTCCCCAAATAATTTTGTGAAACTAACATTGCATTTATACACAAGCCAGGTAAAGACCAAAGAAAGAAAACTACAGGCCAATATCTTTGATGAACATAGATGCTAAAATTCTCAACAAGATCCTAGCAAACTGGATTCAATGACACATCTCAAAAATCATCCAACATGACCAAGTAGGTTTCATTTCCAGGATGCAAGACTGGTTCAATACTCATAAGACTGTAAATATAATTAAATACATCAATAGACATCAAAACAAAAACCACATGATTATATCATTAGATGCAGAAAAAGCTTTTCATAAAATCCAGTACCCCTTTTTGATAAAAATCCTTGAACACCTAGGCATAGGTGGAACATACTTCAAAATAGTAAAAGCCATCTACAAGAAAACCCACAGCCAGCATACTGCTAGACAGACAAAAATTGAAACTATTTCCCCTGAAAATTGGAACAAGACAAGGATGCCCACTCTCACCTCTCCTGTTCAATATAGTTTTGGAAGTCCTGGCTAGAGCAATCAGAAAAGAGAAGGTGATCAGGCATATCCAAATAGGAAAACAGGAAGTCAAGTTATCTCTCTTTGCAGATGACATGATTGTATATCTTGAAAACCCAAGAGAATCTGTCAAAAATCTCCTTGCACTGATAAAGGACTTTAGCAAAGTGTCAGTGTATAAAATAAATGTGCAAAAGACAATTACATTTCTTTACACCAATAATAAACAAACAGAAACCCAAATAAAAAGCACAATTCCATTCACAATAGCCATAAAAAAATGAAATTCCTTGACATCTTCCTAACCAGATATTTGAAAGACTTTTACAACAAAAACTACAAAACACTGCTCAAAGAAATCAAAGATGACAAACAAGTGGAAAAATATCCCATGCTCATGGGTTAGAAGAATAAACATTGTAAAGATTTGCATTCTACTTAAGGCACTCTACAGATTTAATACAATACCCATCAAATTACCAGCAACATTCTTCTCAGATCCAGAAAAGACAATACAGGAATTCATATGGATACATAAAAGGCCAAGAATAGCCAAAAAATCCTCAGCAAAATAAACAAAGCAGGAGGTATTACATTTCCAGACTTTAAACTTTACTATAAAGCTGCAATAATCAAAACAGCCTGGTATTGGGACAAGAATAGGCATATAGACCAATAGAATAGAATTGAGATTCCAGTAGCAAAACCTCAATTTCTCAACCAACTCATCTTTGACAAAGCCTCCACTACCCACCAATGGGAAGATGAGACCCTATTCAGTAAATGGTGCTGGGAAAACTGGCTGACCACATGCAGAAGATTCTAGCAGGACCCCTATCTATCCCCATACACAAAAATTAACACTAAATAGATCAGAGACCTAAATATAAAATCTCAAACTATAAGAACCTTAGAAAAAGCAGGAGACACTCTTATGGAAGTTGGAACTGGCAACCAATTCCTGAGCAAAACCCAAAATGCACAGACCATAAGAGATAAGACAGACAGGTGGGACCTCATTAAACTTACAAGCTTCTGCAAAGCCAAAGAAACCATCAAGAGAGCAGGCAGGCAGTCCACAGACTGGGAAAAAATATTTGTCAACTCTATGTCTGACAAAGGCCTAACATCAAGGATCTACAAGGAACGCAAACATGTTGAAAACAAAAAAACAAACAGCCCCATTACAAAGTGGGCAAAAGATATGAATAGACACTTCTCAAAAGAAGACATATGAGCAGCCAACAGATATATGAAAAAATTTTCGCCTCACTAGTCATTGAGGAGATGCAAATTAAAACTACATTGAGATACCACCTAACTTCAGTCAGAATGGTCATCATCAATAACCCAAAAAATAACAGATGCTGAAGAGGATGTCGCAAAAAGGGAACACTTCTACATTGTTGGTGGGAGTATAAACTAGTGCAGTCTTTGTGGAAATCAGTGTAGCAATTCCTAAAAGTTCTAAAAATCAACTTTCCATATGGCCCCTCAATCCCTCTGCTGGGAATATACCCAGAAGAACTCAAATCACTCTTTAAAAAAGATAACTGTACATGTATGTTTATCACAGCATTGTTCACAATAGCAAGATCATGGAATCAACCATGCTGCCCATCAAAAGAGGACTGGATTTAAAAAAATGTGGTACATATATACCATGGAATATTATGCAGCCATAAAGAAGAACAAAACTATGAATTTCACAGCAACTTGGATGGAATTAGAGTTTATAATACTGAGTGATCCTTCACAGAAATAAAGATCTGAGTATCACATGTTCTCACTCAATGGACCTTGAACAACTACGGTAATACTATGAGAAAAGATTGACAGTGGCAGGAAACTATGGGGGGTGGGGAAGTTAGGGACAGGGAGGTGGGCTTAATGGTAGTCGATATCAGCCTGGGGAAGGGGGGGCATACCTCATCAACAAGGGTACCTACGCGATGAATATTTGTATACCTAGTCCTTCATTGCACCCCACAATTTTAAAATAAAAAAATATAATAAAATTAAATAAATAAATAATAGTAATTGTATATTTATTCTTACATGTTTAAAATTCAGTTAACTTTAAAGTACTCCCTGTTTGATGTCCTTTCCACTGCTCAAAACAGTTTTTGAATTCATCTATTTTGATGGCTTTTAGTGTGTCTAGTGTTTTTTGTTTCAGCTCTTCTACCTTGGCAAAACGTTTCCCTTTGAGGACTTTTTTCATCCAGGGAAACAAAAAAGGTACTTGGAATGAGATCAGGTGAATAAGGACGGTGGGGCATGAGGATCATGCCATTTTTGACCAAAAACTGTGCAGCACTCACTGTTGTGTGCAGGTGAGCTTGTGAATCAACCATCATGAAGTGGGTAGATATGTTGAAAGATTCTTTAAAAAAAAATTAACTAAAGCAGAACACAGCCTCTCACAACATTAGCTTACTACACTGATGCTGATAGATTCCAAGAACACTTACCTCATGGGGGAAGCCTAAACTACGAGGGGCCTGCCCTGCAAAAGATAATTCTGGGTTTTTCAGGTCCTCCCTTGAAAAATCTCTTTATTAATGATATTTTTCAACAGATTATTACCTATGTTTCTTGGACTGATTTGTTTTATTGTAAATCAACAATGTATTTATAAGTATGTTTTCTCATATTTTACTCAGTTTTTGTTTCCCTTTAGAGAGGGGACTGGAAGACATTTTCTGTAAAGTACTAGATGACAAATACTGTCAGTTTTGTAGGCCATATAGTCTGTCACAGTTACTCAAATTTGCTCTTTTCTTGGGTGTGGCTTTGTCTAAATAAAACTTTATTTGCAAAAATAAAAACTGCATTTCAGATTTCACTCAAAGGTTGGAATTTGCCAACCTCTAATCTAGAGCTTTATTGAAAGGCACAGGGAATAGCCAGAAGGATGTCTCCCGAGATGGCACCAACCCTATAGGGAACCTAACAAAGACAACAAAGGCCGTAAATTCCTGCCTTTCCTGCGCATGCGAAACTTAAACTCATGCACAAATACTATCTCCCTATAGGAATACTACCTCATAGCTCCCTCCAATAAAGACCCTAAGATGGCTCTGGCTGGCATGGCCAGGCTCAGAGAGCACAGGCCACCCCCTTCCAAAACCGATAAATACAGACCTCTCTCTCACCCTCTCACTCTCACTCCCCTTTCCCACCAGGTGGTTACAGACCTCCTTCCTTCTTTCTGTAGCTGCTGCTCTAATAAATCTCTTGGCCTCAAAGGGTATTGAGTCTCACTGGCGCCCTCGTCCTTCATTGGTGCCGTGACCGGTTGGGAGCCCTCTCGCCTAAGGCGAGACCCCATCCCGTTGCCAGTGGCACTCGCCCCTTGAGGCCTTCACCCACTTTCTTGAATGCCAGTGCCGCATCCATCACCACCTCGGATTGGTAAGTGCCCCCTCCTGAAAAACCTAACAACTTCCCCGGGATACCCGAAAGGGACTGACCGTTGATTGTCCGGTGGCTCTTTTGGCCCTGGGTGAGGGGGGGACCACACCCCACCTAGGCTTTCAAAGTCACAGCGGACCCCCTACCGGTTCTTCATTCTCCCACCTAAGACTCTAAAACCACCTCTTTAACTCCTATTAGCATTCAAAAAAGTGGGCAGAGATTTCCCTCCCTCCCGTCCTGCTTCCACTCATTCAACTCTTCTCCTTAATGGGTGTTAGGTCCCACTGTAAATCGGGCCTTTCTTGCCCTTCTGCCGGTCTCTCTCCCCTGGGCGGGATCCCAGTTTGGCACCTGTGACCAACCCTGCTCTCTCACACTCCCCCCACCCTTCTGAATGCTCCAGCCACATTCACACTAGCACTCATTGAATAGGCAAGTCCCGCTCCCCAAGTAAAACTTGAGTAAAAACTTTCCAGGGAACTCTGGAGGGAATGGACTTTAAACCCCCCCTCCAGCCCCCGGGTGAGGAAAAACACACCCGCCTCGGCTCTCAAGACCACCGCAGACCCTAAGGGCTTCTTCTTCTCCTTTATCTCTCTCAAACTTTAAAAACTCCCATGGCTGCAGTTTACAGCGGGTCCCAGGGGCCCCACGGCTGTTAACCCATGGCAGTCTTAATAAAATTCTCTCTATCTCTTCCCCCCCCAAGGAATCCCACGGCTGTTGGGCCAGTCTGTTGACCCACAGCAGATTCTAAGGGGGGTCTCACGTCAAAACTCTGTTCGACCGGCAGTAAAGATACCCCCCACCCGCCGTCTCGGTCAAGTGTTCTCTGTCTCATTCAGGAAATCCTAGCGCTGGGTAACTTGACCCCTGAGTTCTCCAGGAGAACTCAGGCTGTGCCAAATTTCTGTGATGACAGACTTTGGACAGCCAC